CGGTTTATGCTGCTGCAGGACGGGCGACAAAATTTATTGGAGCGTCTATAGGATGTACAGGGCATACGCCCAAAAAGGTTACAGTGTTTTTACCGACAAAAAAAAAGTAACTACACATCACCGGAACGCTGTCTCTGCCCAGATGTAGAGCTAAGGGTCCGGACACAGATGCCGAAGTCTCAGAGCTGTCAGTTATTTGATTCAAAAGTTATAAGCGGTTCTTGAATAGTTTCAGCGGCAAAAAGGCGGTCAACAAAGTCCACGAATACATGAAGATGAATGGCATCAGCTACAGGAAACGAGCCCCATTTTCCCATAGAAAGATTCGAAAACAATCACTCGTAATTTTTGAAATAAGATAACGACAAGCCCTGAAATGTTGCGCTCTTGTCCGGACCGCTACCAGTATATTTGGGCAAAGACTAAGCGTGCGGCTAGGCGTAGTGGATTTTTGCGGTGACAAACAATTTCGAACGGTTTTTTTGTTTTTTTTTTGTGACACAATGTGTTTTTTTAACGATCCGTAGATCACGTCAGTTCACCTTTAAAAAAATATAAAATACCAGCGAGAACCTCCGATATTTTATATTTTGGATAATTTGGATGCTTAAAGAAGAAGAGAAAATGTCGGCGAAAAATTAATTGAACCTGGTCCTGCTTTCTCTGAATGTCGACGGGACTGCAACTTCGTCGTTGTGGTTCTTTCTCCTGTTGTAGCGTTGTTTCCTTTCCGTGGTGCGGTTATCGTCTATGCTATCGGGAGTATTTACTCTAATCCAGTTGCTATCTTATCTCAAATAAAACTGGTCTGTACCTAGAGCCCTCAAACGTGATACGGCATGTGCGGCTAAACTTCTCGCAATAACGCGTCGTTCTACGCTGCAGACCTGGCAACACGCCCCGATTCCTTTATCGAACCCACCGCACCGCACTACATGGGTAGGAAAGCAGACTGGCTTGGGATCCAAAAACAGTGTGAATTCCACCTAGAAATAAGAAAAAAAAATATTACCAGAAAAGAAATAAAAGCAGAGAAAGGTTTTTTTCTTGCTGTGATTGTTGTCTTCATATTCATTTTCTTTTTCTGGAGTTTCCTATACGTTCTTTCAAAGACCGATTTACAGTGACCAATAGATCGATAAGGGCGCTTCTTTCTAGTTCTATGACTTTTTTTTTTTTTTGCTTAAGGCAGACAGAGTTTCGATCCCGATCAGATATTTCCAGAGAGGCACGTGCGTTTTTCCCAAATTCAATTACGGTCCCGAATAAATGTTACCTGCCTCGTTCAATAAGTTACAGCTGCTGTGAGTATAATGTAGCGCTCTCCCCCCCCCCCCCCCCCCCCCCCTTTCTTCCCGGCCAAAGCAGAAGGGCACAGATCATAGAACTTACTAAAACCGGGGTTCACACCGCGTATACAGAGCTTGCATGTGACGTCATTCGCGGCCATGCAAGTATTTTATGCGCCGCGCGAGCGTTCGGTTCGCCGAGTTAGTTTCACGCCGCAAAAGTTGTAGTTCGAAGAAGCCAGTAAGTAGAAATAACCTTCAGTACCCAGCAATGGCGAGGCTTGCAAGCTATATGTATACATCATACAGAAGTCAGTTTGCATACAGATTGGAACGCGAGTCACCGCGAGAGTTCGTGCTTCGAATGCCGCATGGCCATGAGAATTCAATGAGGAAACTTGGCAGGCGGCATTCGAACCACAGATATTGGGAGGACTTTTGTTTGCAGATGGTCGTTTTTGTGAGGTATGAGCAGTGTGACACTCACTTAAGGCGTTTCAATGAACGAGTTCTTTTTAAACGAGATTGCCGAACGTATTTTATTGGCGAAGAAGACATGACCTAAAACGGCGTGCATGCTCAAGCGAGATTCCGCGCTTGTGCAATAAAAGTAGTGCCCAGAGTAACATGCTTGCGTTTGTAGCTTTTTGGCGGCCAGAATAACGCAAGAACGCTTGAATGATCTTCATTTGTGTCGCAGTGATTGTAACAGCAGCATGACTATTAAAAGGCGAACCCTTACAGCTTTTAACACCGATTGTGTTTTATAAGCCAGATTCTATGAAAAGACCGTCACGAAGGACTGCTACGTCATACTGTCATCATGACATCACTGTGACATTGCGACTTCACACGACGCCTGGAAGGCGTCTTGATGACGTCATGACGTCATCATGAAGCCTTGGGACGTCGTCATGACGTCCCAATGACATCATTATAACGCCATTATGACATAGACGACATCATGTTTACGTCATCATGTCGTCCTGTCGTTACGACACAATCATGACGTCAGGTAGTAATCATGACATCATCATGACGACACACCATGACGTTGCCATGTCGTGATCATGACAGCGTCACGTGACATCATAAGTAACAGTCATGCCACGATACTCTGTGATGTCACGTAAAGTCGTGACGTCATGTGACATCATGACGGCGCGTGACGTCACAGTCATGTTACCTCATAACGTCAGATGGACATAGTCTGTGACCAGCTCATTCACAACGCATTTTGTGCTCTTGGGTCATTTTTTTACACTATAGTCGTTTTCACCTTAATAAAGAAGGAAGTTTTGCGCATTGTTCATACTCTGCGCGAAGTAGTTCCTACAAGATTTGGTTGTCGGAGGAAGAAGCGATGCTTTTAGCGTTTGAAACGTGTACGTCATGACGACATAACATAGACCTAATCTAAAATTCACCTACATATACCCTAATTATCCAGTTAAACGGGGGAAATTAGTAATGCTCCGCGAGGAGCCGGACTTTTTTTACTACGGTTCTTGAGGCGGAAACGAGTGCCTGTTGATATAGACGCTTTACACACGCGCCAAATTACAGCCGCCATTGCTGACCTTCTCTCGTCTTACCGAGATGCCGAGCAACTGAAACGGTCGTTGACAATTCTCTACAAAGGCCGATGTTTTAGAAAATGACACAGTTGAATCTAATATGGCAATAGCCTGGCCTGCTATGGTGATGATGAAGTGAAATAAACGAAATAAGAGGAAGCAAAAACTGAAGGTCAGTTATGGCGGCCTCCATGCACAGCTGCTGCAAAGCGTCTATAAAATACACTGGTGTGGTGGAGTAAACCGCGCCGGATTAAGAAGTTTCAGATGTATGCGTTCATCTATCAATCCATCTATCCATCCATGCAACCTTTATGTGAGTCTCGCTGCTACGCGTGCTCCTCAAACGCTGACGTTTTCCTTTTACGGCAGGTTGCGGGCTTGTAGTTCCGATTCCCTCAGACCCTGTTCCCGGATGAATATGACACAGCAATACTTCGCTCTCTGCAAAAGGGTTTATTCGCACGCTTATTGCCTAAGGGGTTTCGGGATGGGGGACCGGTGATCAGCGAGGCCGGGAGAAAGTCCGCTGCCGCTGCAGCCGCTCCATGTTCCATCGGTAGTCATCCATACCGCGTCGGGGGGCAGTCGTCATCCAGGGTCGCTGTCTGGTCCATTCGTCGAGTCCGCCACTCGACATCGCTCCTGCACTCCCCGCGTCAGCGCCCGTGTCCCGTCGAATCCCGCGCCAGCGTCCGATCCTCTCCAGTCACCGCTGCACGCTTCCCATGCTGTCCGCCGTTCGAGAGCCGCCGTCCGAGAGAGACTCCTCTTTGTCCTGGGAAGCCAGTCGCGTGATGTCAGTTGGCTTAGGGGGTGTCCAAACAGGACACTACAAAACGCGCGACTCTGACAAATCGTGAAAATTGAAGCGGGCTTGAAGCGGGCGCGTCCGCTTCAATTTTCACGATTTGTCGGAGTCGTGCGTTTTGTAGAGTCCTGTTTGGACAACCTTTGAGGGGAGCGGTGTAGCCGAATGTTCCGGTACGCGAGGCATCGTCGCTTCCGCGAGGCATGACGCATTATGCTTCGGCCGGGATTTGGGGCCCGAAGGGTCGGCGCGGGGGAGGGCAGCCCGACCTCCGCAAGGTTTAAGAGGGAAAGGACGAGAGCGACGATAATGTTTGGTTTTGTAAGATAAAATTTAACGGTGGGTCAGAAGTTTCACCCCCGTGCGAGCTCCAGACGCCCGGCAAAAGAACGATAGATGGCAAAGGCGCGTGCTGATAGGGGGGCTCCCGGCACATTCTTAACTTGTTCTCATCATAGTAAATCTGGCAAAACACGTGTCTCGTTGCCGCTTCCAAAAGTTTAAAAAAAAAAAAAAAAACTAATTGAAAGATATTTTTGTACACTTTGAGTTGAGAGAAAATTTTATCGTATTCAGCCTCCTGAAATATCTCGGCGCACGGCCAAACAGCTGAAGTCGAACGCTTCTACATTTTGTCTCTTTATGCAACTTTAACGACAGTTTTCGGTTGGTTCTTGAAATCGCGGTCGGAAGCACCGTGGTCCCGCTTTGAACTATTTCCACGATGCAAAATATTCAATAACTCCATTTTTGCTCTTCTCTACATACTGCCGTTTATCTGCGTTTATTTTGTGATAAAAACGAAAGAACAAAAATTAAAATATGGCGCTAGCCTCATTTTCAAAGAAAGAGAGAGGGAGAAAATTTATGGCAGCCATTCTAACTCTTCGACATAAAAGAATGTGCGCATAGTTACGTCAAGGTATTAAGATTCCCGACATTCATTCACGAGAAATGTGGAGGAGATTCCAACTCCTCTTTGCAGCATACCACGGTGCACGGGACTTCAAATCCAGGCGCCTTAACCTATTACATTTCCCAAGGCACCCTAAATGCGAAGCTTTTGTATCTCCTTCGTAAAGTCATTATGCCACGTGACTCACACTGTCACATGACGTCACGGCGTCCCATTATGTCACACGACACCGTAACGTTTAGTCGAGGCAGCATACCAGACGCACATACAAGCGCTAAGAGCTTGCCATATCAATGTCACATATTTAAAGCAAACACTTACATTAATAAGCGACATAGTGCGTGCCTGTATTTTTTCTTTCTGTCTATCCCCCGAGTGCAACTGCGCTTGCCACGGCGTTCACTTACCGGCCTGACGTTTTGTAAGCCGACATCTTAACCCGATTACAGACCCCGGCTCACCGTCGCGCGGTGTACGTCGGTGCGCTGCGCCTGTGTCCTCGTTCCGAGCTTGTTCCGTTTCTACTATCGAAGGCTTAAAGGGGCCCTGCAAGGACTTTTTACTGTTTTTTAATTTGCACCGAACCTGAGCGCACTGAACGTAGTAACTTAGTGAAACTTTTCTTTTCGCGAAATTCGCTTTATTTTAAAAGTTATAGGCAATTTAGAATTACAAAAACAAGCAAAAAATAACCTCCTTCATGACGTCGTAGGTCCTGGCTTGAGTGGCCGTGAATTAGAGGAGGAATAGTGAGCTCATCGAGCGCTCACGGCCGCCGCACTCCGTGTCAACGGCGCCAGAGGGCGCCACTAAAGCATATTCTGGATAGGCTGTATGCAGCGGGCTGCCAAAGCGGCTTTCATTGCGTTTGCTGCGCGATAAAACACTAATTCGGCATGACACTTCATTGGCCATAAACGATAGCAAACACGGGGTAAAGATCAGTTCAGAATGGGAGCCCACTTCGCGCTGCCATACCGCGAAACGGCCAAACCGCAAAACAAAGCCTCTCGCGGAAGGCCTTCGGAACGCTCGGAGCCGGTCGGATCCTCCTGTCCATACGACTGCGGCGCCACCGCGTACATCCGGGATTTCTCCGTGTCGGCGCCTTATCCCACTACTCTTTTCTAGTATGCGCCGCCTTTTCCACCGCTTGGCGGCGGGTATGTTGACGGGTCATTTCTTGTTTCCGTACTTTATAAACTGCATTTCTTTCTTTTTTTCATCTATAATAGTGAACAAAAACTACTTATATAAATAATTGAAACGGTTCGCACCACTTCTATTTTGTATCTCGACCAAAAAGAAGTTTTTGTGGCTCTGACCAGTAGTAAGCCCAGGACCAAAGACGTCACATTTTGCGCGCTTTCGGTACCGTGGGTCGCCCTCGTCGGTGGGGGAGGTTTCCGTGTCGTCCGGTTAAAATATGGCGCACTGATATTTAGCTACTCTTTCCGTGCCCGCTGGCTTGCCCGAACCCCAAGAGACGTGGAAACCGCATAAAAGGTAGACGCTTAAATATGATTGCAGGGCCCCTTTAACATAGAGCGGGTGTGTATGGCTGCACCCCAAATCGATGTGGGTAAGCGGTACGAACGTGACTCCGCGTTTGAAATTTTCCAGTTACAAAATTCGTCCCAAAGAAAGAATCATATTTTTTTTTTATTTTATTTTTCAAGGTATATATATTTATATTTACTTTTTCATTTTATTTTCTGCTCGAGAACCGATCGACTAGGGAATGAACCCGATCGAACGAGTGCATCAAACTGGCGATAGAGAGGGAGATCCCCTTTACGGTGCCTTGCGCAAGATTACGTCCTGGCGAGCTGCTATTTGTGGTAGTGGTGCTCTACTCGAAGCGCTGCAACCCGGTGCTTGCAGTTTGGATATGGGTCTTTTTCCTCTTTTTTTTCTTCTTTTTCTTTGCCCCGCAAGCCCCAGGGCATATATACGACACAAAACTAAAATTCGACGCACGAAGTGACCTTGGAACAATGGCGGGTCGGTAAAAGGAGCGAACTACTGCAGCTCGGAATTGCCGTATTTTACGGATTATAAGTCGCACCTTTGTATAAGTCCAACAGTTTTATAAACGACTGTCTTAAAGGGGGGGGGGGATTTATTTAGGAGTCCAATTTTTGTGCAAGCAGCGCTTGTACAATGCGTGTACGGTCGGCGCAGAAAAACTGCATTAAAAAACCTGCATATGCGTATTTTGGCCGGAATATGTGCCGAGAAACTGAGGGAGAAGAGGAGACCAGAGCTCGCACCGCGTCAGATCGCAGAGCTCTGATTGGAAGGATTAGTGGGTAGACCTAAGGCTATGGCTGTCTTTGTCTCCACTGCACTCGTCGAACGCGTTACAACGCGGAACGCCGGCGTCCGGCGTTTGTCTCTCGGATTCGAGCGCATTCCACGTGTGTATTGGAGACTATTGCAGGGTAATTGATCGATCAACCTACCGATTAATCCATTAATGCTTTAATCGCGATTAATTGTTTAAACCGGTTAATCGGTAAGATTTTGAGTAACGAAAATATAGCAAAAGTTCAACGCTTTCACTACGCAAACGTGGACGAGTGCACCTGTACGAAGGGCAAACTGGGGTGAAATTTGATCCTCAAGTAAACTGTAAGGGTGAGATTTGTAACTCCAGGCAATTGCCGAAGGTTACACGTGTCTCGGCCAGTTCAACGCGGTTCAAGTGTCTGCTTAACGCAGCAGAGACTATTGTGAAAAATTAAGGGAGGTCGGTTTCACCGGAAAATATCAACGAACCTTTTCGCCTCATGCAGGTGAAGCAGGAATCTGTGAGTGTGAGCGTCTTTGAACTGTTCTAAACTACACATCGAGGTTGATTCGAAATCAAAATTGTACAATGTCACGAACGACGATTGATGAGGCGACGAGCGACTAACGGTAACTAAACGTTGAATGGGGCGAACTTGAGCTCAAAACAAAGGTAGGAAAAAAAAAAGAAGGCTAGCGTCGCAATCCTCGTTAGCGGCGTCACAGCAGGAGCGGGCGCTCGGGCGAGACTGCACCACTCCTCGCCACGCGGACTTCCTTATGCACACGATTGGGCTTCTGGAACGATCGGTGTAGAAGGTTCGGTGCATAGATCATTCGGACCTTGAATAAACAACAGGGTTCACCAGAACACGACATTTACAGAAAGAATAAAAAAGTGCGTCCGCTCCCAGGCATGGAATCTGGGCCCTTGGCGTGGAGAGCCAGCACGATAACCATTCTCGGCCATGGGCGCTCTTGCTCGAAGACGCGCGTTGCTATATTGTCACGGGTGGTGACCAATGAACAAGAAATAAACAGGAATAAATAAACGTTTAATGTGGCGAACTTGTGTCAAAAATAAAAGGGTACAAAAGATATTAACAGAGCGTCGCGGGCGTCGAAGTCGGCGTAGCAGCAGAGTCGAACGTTGGAGCGAAACTGACTCCGCTCGCCTTGCGGAATCCCTTATGTACCCTCGTGGCTTTCTGGATCGTTCTGCGCAGAAGGTTCGGCGCGTGGAACATCCTAACCTCGAATCAGCAAGACGGTTCTCGAATTCACCAGAACATCACATTACAGTGTCAACAGAAATGCGCCGCCGCGGCCAGGAATCGAACCCTGGCTTTCAGCCTGGAAAGCCAGCGCGATAACCGTTCGGCCACGCGCGCACTGCCTACTTGGCCAGCTGCGCGCGCGGCATTACTCCCCCCTTTCAAAAGTGCATCGTCCCGATGCAACCCAAAAACGAAGCAAATAAAAATAACGGTAAACTAAAGAGTCATTTGGAACACATAAGGTCCACAGTCCTATCGAGCGTAGTACGGCTTCAGTCGCACGACGTGGACGACTTCCGGTCGTGGAGGGCGGCGTGACGAAGTCCGTGTTCCGTCGGGCGTCACCTCGTAGTTCAGATCCCCGAGTCGACGAAGCACTTTGTAGGGTCCGAAGTAACGTTTCAGGAGTTTCTCGCTGAGACCGCGGCGGCGAATCGGTGTCCACACCCACACCCTGTCTCCGGGCTGAAAGTGGACGTCCCGACGACGAAGGTTTGTAGCGGCCAGAGTCGACGTGTTGTTGAGCCTTAATACGGAGTCTGGCGAGCTGACGGACTTCTTCTGCCCTTTGGGCAACCACCTGGGCGTCGTCGCTTGCGTCGACAGCCGGTTCGTCGGGTAACATAGCGTCCAGCATTGTCGTTACCTTGCGGCCATGCACCAGTTGAAAGGGTGTCACTCCGGTGTTCTCTTGTACGGCCGTGTTGTAGGCAAATGTGACGTACGGAAACACCTCGTCCCATGCCTTGTGCTCCACGTCGACGTAATGGAGATCATGTCGGCGATGGGTTTGTTGAGTCTCTCCGTCAGCCCGTTGGTCTGCGGGTGGTACGCCGTGGTGCGACGATGGCTGGTGTGGCTGAGACGAAGGACTTCTTGCGTCAGCTAAGCCATGAATGATGATCCTCGGTCTGTGATCAGTACTTCGGGGGCGCCATGCCGGAGGACGATGGACTCGATGAATAACTTGGCGACTTCGACAGCAGTCCCCGACGGAACGGCTTTCGTCTCGGCGTAACGAGTAAGATAATCGGTGGAGACGATAATACAGCTGTTCCCCATCGTCGACGGTGGAAAAGGACCCAGCAAATCCATTCCAATTTGCCGGAAGGGCTTGGTTGGCGGGGTAATCGGATGGAAGAGACCTGCTGGCTTTGACGGCGGTTTCTTGCGTCGCTGGCACTCATGGCACAATTGTGTGTAGAGATGGACGGTCTTCGGAAGCTTTGGCCAGTAGTACTTGTCGCGAATCCGGGCAAGGGTCCTGCTATAGCCGAGATGTCCGGCCGTTGGGTCGTCGTGGCACGCTTGAAAAATTTCTTCTCGGAGGCTGGCGGGGACAACCAGTAGCCAGGGAGTTTCGCTGGTTCCGAAATTCTTTCTGAAGAGCACGCCTCCCCGCAGGACAAAGCTCGGTAGGTCCCGAGAAAAGACCCATGGGACAGAGCCTCCTCGGCTTTCGAGGTGGTCGATCACGGAGCTAAGTTCCGCGTCGTCGCGTTGCAGTGCCCTCATGTCGGTAGCGTTAACTGCGCCTAGAAAACGGGAGTCGTCATCGTCGTCGGCGCCAGAGATTGGAGGTTCGACTGGAGCCCTAGACAAACAGTCAGCGTCATTATGCTTGCGGCCGGACTTTGCAGAATGGTTACGTCGAATTCCTGCAGTCGAAGGCTCTAGCGGGCGAGGCGTCTTGACGGATCCTTGTGTTTTGCGAGCCAGCAGAGGGCGTGGTGGTCTGTGACCACGTGAAACGGGATCCCATACAAGTACGGGCGGAACTTGGTTATCGCCCAGACGACAGCAAGACATTCTCTGTCGGTCGTTGAATAATTTTGTTCTGCCTTAGACAGCGCCCGGCTTGCGT